TTGGTGTCTGAAGCTGTTCCTTACCTTCCTTCCAGTTCTCTCTGTAGCACAGAGCTCAGTTCAGAGAAAGGAGGGTGCACAGACAGGAAGCAGCAAGTAGGAGTTCTTGAAATGGGTCTGCTAGCTCCCTGACTTCTTTCAGCCCCAGGCCCCCTGTGCTGTGGGATGGACACCCCCTCCCCAAAAGCTTGGGCTTCAGATCCTCTGTCCAGGACCCCATAATGCCTGCCCTCCACTCTGGGGGAGTGTTGAGCATAGGAGTGCCCAGGTCTAGAGGGGAGATGTTTTCTATTGTATTTCTCAGAGGACCTGGCATCTTGGTGCCAGCAGCATGGGGCAGAGTTTTCCATGCTCTCAGTTCCTACTTTCTGGAATCTTAAAGCAAAAAGAAACACCAGCATCTGTAGACAAAAGGTGCTGAGGCAGGCAGTGTAGGACAGACAAAATAGCAGTGACCCCCTCTAGAGGTCAGGCTGACCACTGGCTCTGGGGCTCAGTCTTCTCACAATAAAGTGCAGGGCTGGCCTAAGTCAGGGCCCTCCCAGGCCTCACATGCTCTGTCTGATCTGCCTTCACTTTTTCTGCAGCCCCAACACTGGACCTCACCCAACATGGTGCAGGCCTCCGAGCCCCAAGGCCCAGGCAGGCAGCCACGTGCTTTCTTCCTCAGTCTAAACCTTACTGGCTCACCCTACAGCAATTTTTACCAAGCACGGCTGTCTGTCCTTTTAGCTCAGATGAGGCTGGAAGGGGGACAGCCATACATGAGTGGCAGAAGTGACAGCTGACAGGTTGACATGAATCCAAGAGGTAGAAAGTGATCAGTCCCAGAACCACTGCACCACATGATACAAAAATGGAGGTTTATAACAACGACTTTGAGTCAAGTAGAGGTTAAATCATATCCAGAATCTCATATCCAAATAGCAAGGAAGTATACATTTTAAAAAAACCCAAAACATTAAGTCATAGAAAATGAGAGAACAGAAAGATTAAAATAAAAAACTATGTACTTGAAGGAAAATGTTCCAGTTTTGATATATTTATATATGACAGGTGTATTGGAACATCTACTAACCAACAATGCTAGCGGGATGACAATCTTGCCACACGGACCTAGAACTTATCTAGAGGTGGACAATTTTGGATCATGATGATTTCGAGACAGTCACAGCTCTCAAATTGCTTTTACCTAAATTAATGTATTTGATGCTCCTAACTATCCTCAGGGATGGCCATCTATATCCTTCAGGGAACTTTTGAGGTATAACATACAAACAGAAACGCTGTGCAACACAAATCATGAGTGTATAACTCAATATATTTTCAGAAAGGGAGCCAACCTATGTAACCAGCATCCAGATCAGGAAAGAAACTATAACCAGCACCTTAGGAACACCTCATGCCATTTTCTACCCCCACCTTTCACAGGTAACCACTATCTTGCTCCCTAACATTAGAGTTTTTTGTGTTTTTTAAAAAATCCTCACCCAAGGATATGTTTTTACTGATTTTAGAGTAAGGGGAAGGGAAAGAGAGAGAGAAACATTGATATGAGAGAGAAACATCGATCAGTTGCCTCCTGTACATGTCCTGATCAGGGATGAACCTGCGACCTAGGCATGTGCTCTGACTGGGAATTGAACCGGCAGCCTTTCGGTGCACGGGGTGATGCCCAAACCAACTGAGCTGCTCCAGCCAAGGCAACATCAGAGTTTTTTCAACTGCAATGTATAGAGAGGAAACTTCGTTTTAAAGAAGTAAAGTTACTTAGAAAAGCCAGGGCTGGTGGGTGGTGAAGGCACAGGGCTGGGAGGCAAGGACAGTGCCCCTAGTTGGATATGTATATTTTCATCACGCGAGCCTCAGTGTTCTGGTGGTATGTGAAGGTGCCATAACTGGGGTGGAGATTGAGAGAGGTGGGAAGTAGAAAAAGCAGAAGAGGTTAGGGGTATGGGGCACAGGTCAGCAGATACCTAGGAGCTGCTGGAGAGGAACACAAGATTCAGCCAGGAGAGAATTGGACAACTGACCGGTTTCCCAGTACTCAATACAGGGATCCTTGAGTAAACCCCAAGGTTTTCTTTCATGGGCTATTTCCCCACACTGCTTCCCTATCTTTGGCTAATTTTAGACTTGGGGACTAGAGTTGTAGGTGTTGGGCATAGGGTGGTTGGGGCACTCAATGTGCAGGGACATGTAACTTTCACTCAACAAGCTAATGCCTCACGCTGGTTCTGTGGAATACTCATGAAGGGAGCAGGCCTGCTGCATATGGGGATAACTATGTTGGAAACGGTAGCCCTAAACTGGGTGTGAGCAATGAACTTTTTGAGCTAAGGCTCTACTGCTTGATCATAATTAAGTCACTTTAATTCTTTGAGCTTCAGTCTCTTCATCACTACATAAGGATGTTAACTCTGACACAGGGGTTTTGTGAGGATCAAATAAGGTAATGGACATAAAGTCTCTTTTGTCAACTGTAAAATGTTATTTAAATGAAAGGCTTTACTGATGCTAAACCTGAACCAGATTCCCAGACAAAGCAAGATGTTATTAGCCTGTCCTTAAACATTACCTGTCTCTTTTATACAGATCAGCTGTCAGGAGGGGACTTGAAGATTAAATAGCAGGTTATAGACAGGCTGGGAGTTAGAAGGCAGTGGTTGTGCCCAGAGGGATGAGGCCTCAGTCTCTAAACCTGAGACCCCAGCCCGAGTTTAGGCCTTCATCAGTCCATCCCCATTACTCTGGGGGAAACAATTCCCCTCTAAGACCAGAATGTTCCAACCCTTGTTCTATCAGCTACCAATCCTGTCTTGAGCGGGAGGCTGCATTCAGCAATGCAGTGCCACTTAGTCCTCAGTCTTTGGGAGACACCCTAACCCCACAGCCTGTGGTGGGTGGGGAGTGGAGAATGAGGAATAGGTGGGCAAGGGGAAGGCGGCCTGGTCACTACTGTTTCTAATGTGCCTCACTTGGGTCTGTTCTTATTTATTTACTTTTATATATCTTTATTGATTTCAGAGAGAGGAAAAGAGAGGGAGAGAGAGAGATAGAAACATCAATGATGAGTCATTGATCGGCTGCCTAGCCTGCAATCCGGGCATGAGCCCTGACAGGGAATTGAACCCTGATCGCCTGGATCCTAGGTCGATGTGCAACCGCTGAGCCACGCCCGGCCAGGCCAGTCTGTTTTTATTGAACTAGGGAGGAGCCTTGCCTTTCTGAAGGAGAGAAGTCAAACTTGAGCANCCCGGCCAGGCCAGTCTGTTCTTATTGAACTAGGGAGGAGCCTTGCCTTTCTGAAGGAGAGAAGTCAAACTTGAGCAAGAGACCAAAACCCTGGGCAGATGTGGGACCTCAGCTGTCAGAATGGGGCCGAAACTTTGACAGGCACAGTGAGCAGGGCAGCAGTGCTGGCACCTGAACCATCTTCCACACAGCACTGCTCTCTCCCAGGGAGCCTTGAAGAACCAGCAGTCCCTGTTTCAGCTTCCTTGGGCTCCCAGCAAGGCATGGGACTCCAGAACTGTATTACCTGGTTGGGCTGCTGAGTGGCACCACAAGCAGGTTCAAGGACCAGCGAAGGCACGGATGCAAATTCTGAAGCAGCTCCCAGGCAGAACCCACTTGGCACACTGTGAAATCGGTCACTGCAACTGGCCGCCCCTCCCCCCAACCACCAGCGCCTGTGTCTTTCGCTTCCTGCGAGGCTGACAGTTAAGGCCCCAGCGCAGTGTGGCAGCCTGAGTGTGGTTATTTGTGCACAGCTCCTCTTGCCTCTCCTCCCCACAACTGTTTCCATTCTCACCAAGTAGCCACGTCCGGGTCAGACACGCAGGACAGCAACTGGGGATTTCCAAGGGACTTTTTGAGAAAGCCAGTGAAAGTTGGGTGTTGGCTGCATGGCCTAGGCACTCTTGCTGAAACCCACTTCTTCCCTCTGGGATGTTAGCTCTAGCCTGATGGGGCCGCTTCCCAAAGCTCCTTTCAGATTGAAAATGAACAACAGAAACCACCACAGCTGGAGCTCTTTTAGTTTGCTGGGCTGGGAAAATCCTTAAAAAAATTGTTGGAATTGAGGTTTCCAAACCATTCCCTCAGAACCTGAAGGCATCAGAGAAAATGGTTCTGGCTTTAGGACCTGTGAGGGGTGACTGGAGCAGCTGTGCCAATCCCAGCTTCCTTCCCATGGGCCTACGAGACAAGGGAGGGGGCTGGTCACTTGAGTCAGCACCTCTCCCTCCTTCCCACTCCAGGCCACAGGTAACAAGATACTGACTCACTAGCAACACCAGGTGGCCAAGAGACAAGGCCCCAGTGCAGGCACCTCTGCCAGTCAGAACGCACCCTTCAGTGGGTGGCTCTGAGCATTTTTCCACTATTTTGACTTTGCACATATTGCTAATATTGAAGAATGGTTAACAAAAGGAGAGCCAATGAATTTTACTTTTCTTGTTGCTAATCCTCACCAGAGGGTATTTTTTCCATTGATTTTTAGAGAGGGAGAGAGGGAAGGGGAGATAGGGAAAGAAAAAAACACATTGATACGAGACTCAATTGGTTGCCTCCCACATGCACCCCGAAGGGGGCCATGCCCTTGACCAGGAATCAAACCCAGACCCTTTGGTGCATGGGCCGGCACTCTAACCACTGAGCCACAATGTGCAGGGCTGAATTTTGCTTCTATAAAACTTAAGTGGTAGAATTTCCACATGGCTTTATTTATGATTACCAACAATCTTGAGGTACATAGGCAGAGCAATCATTCTCATTTTAGATGGAGAACATATCTAGGAAAATAAAAATGGGAATACTAACAGGATTTTTTGTGGAAATTTAAGAAATTGAGGGGTTTTGGTAAATTTTTAATTCTAAAACAAATAACTCACCTTGGCCAATAACATGACATTATTTAAGGCCCCCTACTAGGCCAGAAAAGGGAGCAGCCCACCTCCTATGGAGATACAAACTAGCCAGACAAAGACCCAGCAGCCATCTGAGGGTCCCCAGTTAGGGGAATGTGATCGAATGTAACTGAGGGAAAGGGAGGTCATGGGTTCCACTGGCTGGCCTAAGGTATAGGAAGAGCGGTAAAAAGAAAAAAGACAAGAAAGGAAAAAAAGTATTAAACCTGGTCAAATGGTAATGAATATTAAGTCTCAGTATTTCTTTAAGGGACACCTGTTGTGCCAGGTCTAGAGGGCAGAAGGTGGCAACCCCCAGATACCAGGACTACCAGGATGATGGGATTGCCTAGACTCCAGACAGACCTCCCAATGAGACCCAAGGAAGCACACCACAAAGGCTGCAACCCTGGAGGCCCAGAGACAGCAGGGGCCTCTGTTGCTCTGGGAAGGTGCCTAAAGGGCAAGTGAATTCTTACTGTACCCAGCTAAGAGAAAAGGAGGCAAGACACCTGTCATGGGCTATGGGCTAATGTTTACTGGCATTTGATAGAGTCCTGCCCATGGCCAAGGAGGGAGCCCAGGACTGTGGGTAGGAAAAATAGCATCCTACTTCACACTCAATTCACTCTATTAATCCACCAACCCACACCACTCCCACCCACCCCCAGTAGTTCAAAAATGGTAAAATGGCCCAGGAACACGCTGTGCTGCTCTCTCAATAGTCCAGTGAGCCTCAGAATTGGTGAGGAGTATTTGAAGTTCTGTCCATTTCCTTTCACAACAATAAATAAGCAGAGGCAGGAGACAGTGGCAAAGACACTGGCAGCCATGCATCTTGCTAGGTCTTTATAGCTGTGTCTCTGGATTTGTAGGCCACTCCTCGGCTTTTCAGCTCCCGCACGATTCCTATGGCAGAAAAAGAAAACAGCTCTGTGAGTGAAGAAGAAAGAAAGGTCCTTCAGCTACCACTCTGGGTGCAGGGAGGAATTCCTAGACTGCTCAGAGGAAGTCCTGCTTGGTTGGCTTGTTACCATCGAAGATCCAAGGAAGTGTTTTGGCAATGACTTGGTAAGAATGAAACACACTGTTGCTCTGGCCAGTGTACTCAGTGGTTAGAGTGTAGGCCCCCCGCACCAAAGGTTTGCGTGTTCGATTCCTGGTCAAGGGCAGTACCTAGGTTGCAGGTTCAATCCCCTGCCCAGTTGGGGTGCATGCAGGAGGCAACCAATCAATGTGTCTCTCTCACATCAATGTTTCTCTCTCTCTCTCTCTCTGCCCCCCCCACCTCCCTCCCTTCTACTCTCTCTCTAAAAAAAAAATAAAAAAATCAATGAATTAACAAGACAAAAAACAAGAAAAGAGAGAAAGACACATTGTAGTTGTCAAAAGCAAGGATTCTGGAGTCAGAATGCCTGGGTTCAAATTCTGGCTCCTCACTTACTAGCTGGGTAACTTTGGGCAAGTTATTTAACCTCTCTGTACCTGTATTCCCTCAGAATTATGAGGACTGGTGATAATTCACACAAAGAACTTTCACAGAGCTTGGTGCAATAAATAAACACTGGCTGATACTGATTACTGTTACCTTGGGGCAGGCGACCAGTGACTGATACTGCATACACACCAGGCTTAAAGTTACCTGAAAGAGAAGAAGAGAGATTGCAGTGAGAGTGAGTTAAGACTAAAGACCAAATAGAAGCTTAAGCTAAAAATAAAAGAAATGCTACCATTGCAAGAGAAAAGCAATCACTTCTGGCCACAAATATTAAATGACCAGGCACAGGACACTTTCCTTGCCTGTCCTCCATCTTTCTCACTCTTGAGGCCACTTACTCACTGATTTAAGACTCCCCCGCCAGACCAAGAGATAGCAACAACACTAGTCCAGGATAAGGAGGAAAGGAGATACTTACTAACTCGCTGCCACTTGGAGACCCAGCTGTCCTCTGGGCTCATCATTGCAATGATTCTAGAAAGGGAAAAAAAGTAGTCAAGCCAGAGCCTCACCTACTAAAGAAAAAAAACAAGGAACTGCCCTCTTTTTGTTCCTAGCCAGCACAACAGAGGAAACCCAGAGTTGACTGAAACTTTGATTAGGTTGTTTATTAAGTTTTGGTTTGGTGACATGACTTAGCAAAAATGACTCCATTTTGGCCTGCTGTTTACTTTTCTTTTTAAACAATGCTAATAAATGAACAAAGGGACTAAAGTATCTGAGTCTGCANAAAGAAAAGTAATAATAAATAAAAGTAATAAGTAATAAAAGTAATTAAACAATGCTAATAAATGAACAAAGGGACTAAAGTATCTGAGTCTGCACATGTATACATAAGAAGTAAAGGTTCTATGACTTTTTTTTGCCCAATCCTTTATTCTTCCTTAAAAGAAACCAAAGAAAGAACACAGTTGGCCCTCCTTGAAGGAACTTTAGCAAGTACTGGGTTTGAGCCCAGTTTGTGTGTAAACCCTTAACTGGCTTATGGGCAAAAGAAACAACAGTACCTTCTTAATCCCCAAAGAATACTGCCCTCTAGCTCCTACCTTGGGAAAGGAAAATTGAGACCTGGCCACCTAAGTTTATCTCATTTCCTCTTCTTCCCACTGGACAATCCTGACAAGGGAAAATTTTCCTTATAGGGCTTCTTGAAGATATCTAAAAGCATCAGCTTTGGGCAATAATTTACCATCACTGTACCTTCCCTTCCCTTCATTTTCAGAAAGTATCTTCATGCATTCAACAAACATTTATTAAGCATCCATAACCTTCCACGCCCTGTGCCAGGTCCTGGTGCACAAGATAAAAACAATCCCTACCCTATCATCATCAATGAGCTCACAGTCTAGTGGAGGAATGTCCAGTGGAAATACAATAAAAGCCACACAAATTATTTTAAATTTTCTAGTAGCCATGCTTAAAACAATAAAGACAAAAACGTAAAATTAATTACAGTAATATATTTAACCCAATACACCCAAAGTATTATCACTTTGGCATGTAATTAATACAAAAAAAATACTGACATTTACATTCTTTTTTCTCGTGCTAAGTCTTTGAAATCTGGTGTATATTTTACACTTAAAGCATATCTCAATTTGGACTAGCCACAGTTCATGTGCTCAAAGCCACACATGGCTAGTGGCTACTGTACTGAACAGTATGTCTCAAATAACTTTGAGATCAATCAGGATTATGGTATCAAAAGTCTGCCACACACTTACTTGGTGGTGTGGTGTAGGGGTAACGGATAAGTGAATAAAGAAATCTAAAGGAGCTTACCCATCAAAGGAAGAGCTGGTGCAGTCATATACCATCTCTCGGTTACCCTTCATCTGAAGGTATGCATCACAATTGTCACAACCGTCATATTCAAACTGGTCTATTGTCTGCGAGGGAAAAATTTTAAGATGATAAGTGAGTATGAACAAGGCCAAACAAAAAAGCTGCTTTCTCCATACTTCTACCTGGTCAAATAGAAAACTCCATATATTGGCTCTGTCTCATCAGGTCCCTCACTCATCACTCCCACAGTCCCTAAGTTTCATCCTCACATTCCTCCTTCTCTTGTTTCCACTTGCACTTTACCTGTCCCTTTCCCTAGTCTCCCTAACTACTCTCTCTCCTACTGATCCCCACGCTTCTCCGACTCCTAGCGTCATTAGGATCCATCAGCAGTTCACGGAACGTCTGTTAAGGGTCAGGCCTGTGCTAAGAGTTGAGGAGTCAAAGGCATGTAAGACCGCCGGTGCAAGCTGCAATATCTGTTCTACTGATGTAAACAATGGCCTCCTGCAGTTTCCCACATCCCGTTCCACCCTCTTTCCCCCAGCTTGGTCCTCCACTCCTCCTACAACCAGGTCCCCCACACATACCTTGACCAGCGAACACAACAAACACGCCCGGAGATGCCGCAGGTCCTTGGGCACCGTCTCCAGAGCCATGGTCTCCAACGGAACAGCGAGAAGCTGCCAAGCCGGCCAAATCCACAGACTATAAACAGTGAATTGCCCAGAATGCCTAGCACTTCCGGTGCCTCGCACTTCCGCTTCCGGCGTAGGAGGCTTCAGGCCCCTTCTCTACCC